CCTATCCCATCTATCCATTCTCTGCCAAGCAGCAAGTTGTAGTTTGCCTTTGCTGGGATCCCCATGAACATAGTTGGTCTTGTGATTGAACCAACTGTCAATTCTACCTGTATTACTCCCAATGTATGTCCAATCTTCCCTTCATAATTTGAAAGGACCATGTTATGTGGCTTTACGTCTGTATCAAACATTCCAATCTTTTTCAACATGAATTGTGGCATTAAATTGGCAGTTGCTCCTCCATCCACTAAAACCTTATTTATGCCTACTTGTTCAACCCTGGCCCTAATGTATAAAGGCTTCAGATGCCCCTTCATACCCCGGTGAGGTCTCTCGAAGAAAACATTTTGTTCTTCGACAGCTCCATTGTTGAGCACATAGTAGCAAGCTAGTTTATGTTTTGCCATTTCCTCCTCATCAACTTCTTCCTGGTCCTCTATTTCAGTTTCCTGGTTGTATTCCTGAGGTAAAACTGATACTACATTACAATTAACATTAAAGGACGAAACCCCGTCAGATTCGAAATCGTCTGTTGACATTTCATCTTCTTTCGTCAGGTTTTTCTGAACTTTCTCACTTGTGACCTTCTCTTCTGACGAAAACAACTTTCGACTCACAAGTTGCTTGTTTAAGTTCGCAGTGCTGGAAAGGAACTTGTTACTACTAGACTCCCCTATGCCCTTCGAATCTAACTCTCTCTCATCCTTTTTGATCCTCTGGTGCCTTCTCCACTGGGATCTGGATATTGGGTTATTTCCTTTGTAGTTATCTAACCTGTATGCCTCTCTCCTTGATGTTTGAAACTGCTTTCTGTAGGCCATCAAAGTTCTTCCTCCTTGGTCGAATCTTCTCCACTTTCCTCTTCCTGCCCCTGCTTACGTCCATTTATCCGTTGGTACTTCTGCTGGAAGTTTGAACGTGACTCTCCTGGCTTTGGGGTGAGGACTATCTTGCCTTCTAGGGATTCCCCTCTTGTCGAAGATGTATATGTTGGGGTTGCTACCTTGCTTGTCCCATCCATGGGTAAATTGAACTCTTTCAAACATTTCAGCCATCTCTTTATCATACATTTCCCCACACCTGGGACATAACAAACATTATGTTTCAGATTTATAACAACGTACCAAAAAACCAAGCAGACTTTCCCCTGGCTTTGGGTACACTTTCATCAACTGGCTTTCGTGCCTCCAATTGCCCTGGGTTCTAGCATGATGCGCTCTTTCATAAGCTTCTGTAACCCTTCGATTCAGAGTAATGTTGCACCTTGGACACATCAACATCTCCGAATTCCTTCGATGACACCTTCAGAGGTATTCTCGCAGAGTCTCATTGGCCTTAGGGTAGCCAAAACTCATTTGTTCCCTTTCCAACTTGAGCATATTTAGACTTCTTCCATTTCTGGTGGAGGTTGGTTCAAATCCACCATGTTAACTCTTAGACTAGGACCTTCAACAATCCTTATCTTCTCAAATTTGACTATAAGGCCTTCAGTAGCCTCAGTTATTCCTCCCTCAGGGCCTTCAGTGGCCTCTGATTCAGCATCACATGCAGAAATATTTTCGCCAGGAATTATGTTAGCTAGGCCTTCAGTAGCCTATTTGCCATTCATGTTTGAGCCTTCGACGCTCTTGGCCTCTTCCTCATATTCCACCATGTCCACCATGTTGATTTCCACAGGTTCAGCATAATTGTTGTGTGCAACATGGAGGAGGTCAACATCAATCTTCATGTGGTTCTTGGCTTTGTCAACAAACTTCAAGTGTCCTTCTTTGATAGCATTTTGAATAAGATCCATGAAAATAAAGCATTGTGAAGTTTTATGGCCTAGAAAATTATGATATTTGCAAAAGCCTCTTTTCTCCCATTGTTTTAACGGAGGAATTTTTGCATTAAGAGGCACTATCATTTGACCATCTTTTACATGCAAATCAAAAATCTTATCACATTTTGAAATGTCAAACGTATAAGTTTTCTTGGGAAATTTCTCATTCTTTTCTATTTCGATATGATTTCTGCCATTTGCTGGTGTAAGCATTTTACAAGAGTATGGGGTGCTTCTTTTAGTTCAGCCAGATCTACTTCGAATTCCCCAAAATCATACATATTATTGAAGGCCTCTGCTTATTCTTCTTTGGCTTCGAGATAAGCTACCCTCTCTTTCTTATAATTTTTACTTGCTCTGGCCTTTTCTGCTTTTAAACGTTTAACTTGTCGAACTCTATCTTCTAACTGGACCATGCCTCTTAGATACTGAGTATCTAGTTTCTTTCGAATGGAGTAATCTAATCCCCAACGGCCATTTCGACTAATTCATGTTCAGGTACTACTGTGAAACATCTAGACTTTAATAAACGAAACCTATTCAGATAGTCATCTATAGGTTCAATAAACTTTCTTTTGATGTTGGCTAACTCCTTAAGGCATATCTTAGTTTTCCCCATGTAGAATTGTTCATGGAACAATCTCTCTAAATGAGGTCATGTATCTATAGAATTTGGTGGCAATTTGGTGAACCACGTAAAAGCGTTTTTTGTTAATGAACTAGGAAAGTATTTTTCCTTAAGTTTTCATTATTTTCCAAATCCCCTGATTCTATCAGATACCTGGCCACATGTTTGACAGTTGATTCGTTAGTATCTCCTGAAAACTTTGTGAATTTGGGGACTTTACAACCCCTTGGTAATTCTTCCTGCAAAATAAAATCTGTCAATGGGGATGTGTAGTTTGGCCATCGAAAACCTGCGTTCAGGCCATTTAGGGCCATGATTCTCTCAATCATGGTGGTTAAATTATTTTCAGCCAGCATGTTATCTTGCCTAACTCTATGGATCACTTCTTCTGCATTTTGATCTGTTAACCATTACTACTCTCCTAGGTTGCTCCTCAGGGGTCTCATGTTGAATCTCTTGTTGTTCCACCCTTACCCTCATGTTCCTTTCGCCAACCTCTTGTCTGGGTGGTCGAACCCGATTGATAGTGGTTTCTTCTTCTTGAATTGCCCCTGGTTTTGCCTACATCAAATAGGTGCTTGGGGGGATCAAAAGAAATCTGCTATACGCGCCATCTGCGCTGACATTTGCTGATAGGATTGGGTATTTTCTTGGTTTGTCCTGTTAACAATTTGGGAGAAAATTACATTCATTTCACGGGCAAGTACTTCGACCATGTCATGGTTACTAGTGTCCATTTGCTGCCTAAATGCTGCCTGATTATTAGTTGTAAGCATATGTATTTGGTTTGACAATCCTTGGTTCTGCATGTTTCGACCCATATGGTTCATACCAGAACCGAAATTTTGTACTGGCAAAAAGGTTGTCATGGTAGGCTGTGTATTTATGGATGTATTATTATGTAACCCTGGCATAAAGGAAGTTGGCATCCCATATTGGGATTGCTCCCTCCAAGGCCCAAAATTTTCAAACCCTGGTGGCCTTGGGGTGGTAGGTTGAGTCTGATTCCCAACATATGCCAACACATGGCCGATTTGAGTATTCGGTGGAATCTCTCCCACGCTTGTAGAAACATGCATGGTTGTCGAATTGTTCGCGGGAATGAGCCTTGTAGACCCAAGTATAGAGCTATTTGTAGCCATGGGTCCTGTAGATATGGACATGGCTTGTGAATCAAGGATTGCAGTTGACGTATTCGTCGAATTGGCCATGATTGTGCCTGATCCTTGTGGAGGATTCCCCCCCCCCCCCCCCCCCACTATTGGTATTATTAACCATTTTTTTGGTCTGTTTTCTTTTGGGTATTGATTGGTTATTGTTAGTTATCTTACCACTCCCAAGGTTCATATACTAAAGACAAGAATTTGTTCCTAAGAGAAACTAAGAAGACCCTAATTGAAAGAACACAAGCAATGTGACTAAACCACTTCGACACGAGTCTCATTGGGTGTGCCAATTTGTTTATCAGTGATTTCTGACAAACAACCGCTAGTCTTCTGAACTCTATGTTTTGGTAACTTACAGGATCGACTAGATTGATCATATGACATGTGTCTTAGTGTTACAATTTGACTTAGAATTTGACATAATAATAAGGTCTTTCTACGTGATTATGGTTACTTCAAGATGTTTAAAATTTGGCTATGAATCCTAAATATAACTTTAAAGAAAATGATCTAAATGTTTATAAAATATAAAGAAAAAAATGCTTATAAAGGAAGTTCGACAAAATCTGTAAAAATTGTTTGACTGGAAAAAAGGAATAAAGAAAACAATTAAAATAACTTTGTAATAAGAAAACAACTTTGAATAAAATGATTGTGTTCTTACACGTACATTATCAATAAACTCTTTTATCTCGCTCTGGTACTTTGAGTATGAGTGACCTGTATACAATGTGAACACCCTCGAACCCTAACATCTAAGATTCCTATTTATACTAATTCGACCCTAACGGTCTTTCTATGAGATTACGCCACGTTCGACATCCTTTACATGCATACATTATGGCGCTTCCATGCGTCTTTCTAGCGAAAATGCATTAGTTTGAAATTTAAACTTCTTGTTCGAAACTTTTGAATTCAACTTTAAATTCAACCAACATGAGTGTCGAGGTATTCACATATCTTGAAATACTCCTTTCACTTTAAGTTGCCCTTCAACATGTCGAATCATAAAAATGAACCTTATAAAATAATCTTATAAGGTCAAATTTCATGTTATTTTTTAAAACATGATCTTCTCAAATCAACTTTCATATTTTTATCAAATATCGAAATCTTCAGCTAACACATACCACTTAACAGATTTCTCAACTAATTTTTTTCCTATGATGCATTCTAAATCAATCTTATTAGTCTTAGTTGACCTGAAGGGCGATATTAAAGTATTAAATATGAAATAAAGTAAAAAAAATTATAAGAAATAAAATTCCGAGTACATTTTCGATATGTAAATACTCCTAACAAAAACAACCGAAGCCCTGCGCCTCGATCAAAAAACCAGAACAGAAAGCAGTGGTTGAATTCAACTGAAGATTATCAATCAAGCATGAGTTTAATCAATCCAAAAACCGACAAGCTTGTGAGAAGATTAACCATTGCCGCAACTATTACCGCTTCCTATTTTCTCTTAACAGCTGATTATGGCCCTCAACCTAATGCTCTTGACCCGGTTAGTTTCTCTTTTTCTTTCTTCTCTTCGTTCAAAGCAACCATTTTTAACCTTACCCATGTCCTTTTTCATGATTTCTTTGCTACCCAAAACAGATTTAGCTTGGTGGGTGGTCTTTATTTTTGAAATTTCTAAGTGGGTTTTCTGTTTTTAGTTGTATTACCCTTTGGAAATTGGATTAATGTTGTCCTTCATGAATGTTTGTTTGAAATTGGGGTTTTGTTGTTGTTGAGTCGATACGGGTAATTGGTTTTTTCATCAATATTTTCATACAACACTCTGCAAACCTTTCCATTCTCTTGACTTTTCTTTTTCTCCCTCAGTTCCGATTTTCTTCTCATGCAACCGACCGTTCTTCTTCTCTTGCTCTTCATACACAACTGTTAGATACTTTTCTTTGGTTTTTTTCTTTTTTATATCTGCATGCTGCTATATTTTTATATCTGTAGTTTTAGACAGTTTGAAAATAAGGAAACCTCCCTAAGCTCTGGGATTGGTGGTTCAAAGAGAACTTATGCTGGACGAAAATATATGGAAATAGTTAACGGAGATACAAACTCTATTCATTGTATTTTTTAGACAATATTGATTGATGGAGGAATAACAAGAGCCAAAGGCTATCTAATGGGAAAAAGGACAATGTTCAAGTTTGCACCAAATGTCCACTGGAGGATAAAAAAGATATTATGAAGTATACCAAAAATAAAAGGAAGCAAAACAATTGATGTTGATATAGCTACAATGAAAAACGGATTTTGGAAGCATTCAATATGATGCAAGTGAAGATGGACTTGCTGACGAACCAATAGCTCCTAGAAGGATGATAGCAAAAAAGGACTAATGCATCTATATGTTAGAAATCATGAGATAACAATTGGGAAGAAAAAGAAAGAGAAATTGAAAGAAGCCAACATAAGAGATTCTTGTGATAAAGAAGCTACATTTTGAGTTAACAAATATATTGTTCGGTTTTGGTACCAAGCCGGATTATCATTCAACATTGTTAAGCTGAAGAGTTTGCAGCCATTGGTTCTTATCTCCTCCACAAGAGCATCAAGCTATTCAAAGATCTTTTCACATGTCTTCACAAAATCAGAGGCTTCTATGGACTTCACAAACATTGTCCCAACAACAGAGTTGACCAAGAACTTAATAGCATCGTTGTTTCCGATTAGTCTATGAATCTGACATATTAGAACAACCATGCTTCTTCTATTGCTCCTTATGATCTTTCATCAATTTGTGAGTGTATTCCACCTCATTCTTTAGAAGTGGAACTCTGCGAACTAGACATTCCACTTCTAAAGAATGAGGTGGAATGCAATCACAAATTGATGAAACGTCATAAGGAGCGATGGAAGAAGTATGGTTGTTCTATTATGTCCGATTCATGGACTGATCGGAACAACGATGCATTATTAATTTTTTGGTCAACTTTATTGGATAGATTTGATGCTTGAAGATATTGGGAAGCTTCCTTTGATAAATAAAACAATTAAAAGGGCAATCAACATTGTTGGCTACATCTATAGCCATTTTAGTACCTTGAGTCTGTTGACACATTACACAAACAAAAGAGAGTTGGTGAGACATGGAATAACTAGATTTGCTGCATCCTTTCTTTCATTAGAAAAACTTCAATGTTGTTCCATACCTCACCGACTATAGATGTAGCTTCTTTATCACTAGACTCTCTTATGCTTGCTTGTTTCAATTTCTCTCTTTTTTTTTTCCTTCCCAATTGCTATCTCAGGTTTTCTAACATATTATAAATCCAATGGTTCCTCTTTTGCTCTTCACTTGCATCACATTTAATGCTTCCAAAATCCAAATTTCTGATCGCAGCCATATCAACATCAATGTTGTTTTGCCTCCTTTTGTTTTTGGTATACTCCATAATCTCTTCTTTAACCTTCGTTGAACATTTGATGCAATCTTGAACATTGTCCTTCTTTTATATATGTTTACGGGTCGGGTAAAAAAATACCCAGACAAGAAATATTCATATTTAGAAAAATAAAACAGCAATACCGCCATGAGCGTTAAACTCGTGGCGGTGGCCATGGCGCCGCAATCCAAAATCCGCAACGCCACCGCTTTTCCATGCTGCTATGTTGAATTTCCACATTCGCAATAGTGCCGCCATGGCCGCATTCAAAGCCTGCTGAATTAATGCCATCTCAAACTAAATTACCTGCAGACCTGCCACCGGATTGTATCTGCCTGAGCCCACCCAACTAAGGCCATCTCAAACTGAAAACATTTACCTGCCATTGGATTGTATCTGCCTGTTTTAGTCAGATTTCAAGCTGTCCAGCCCTACCATCCAGTATGATGTTTTCTCCTAGAAGTTGCATTGGAAAATAGGAATGTTGTGCTGGACTTGGTCCACAGACACATTTACTTTGCTGTGACTGCTATAAGAAATTGAAAGCTTTGGAAAAAATGACTTTGGAAGCTGAGCACATGCTATTTAATTATGGAAATTGTGTTTACTGAGATGAGTAGTAGCTTAAAGGATAGTGATCCTCTCCATATCTCAAAAGAAATAGAGAACTCCATTACTGATGAATGATGATTTGTATGGCCAAATGTCTAATAATACATAATACATGTCAACATTTCTAAATATATAAGCCTTTAGATACCAAAAACCTTAGTAGCAGAGCCCTCCATTTCTTATGAGAAATGGAAAGGATCGTTACTCAAGCTAAAAGCATTAAGTTGCGATTGTCATGTCATTTACCGTAGAGGTGACAATGGTCAGGGAATATTTTCCTGACAATGGCTATATTTTTAGAAATTATTTTGTGGTTTCTATTTGTTTTCTTTTATACCATTTGGTCATGAAGGTTTCTTTCCCTTAGACAACCAATTCTTTTATTTTTGTCGACCTAAAGATCTAGAGCTTTTGTACACTGTGATATGACTGCATTTGCAATCTTGCATTAGTTTGTCTTTCGTAAATATTAAAATTGGACTGGAAAAATAGGCCATAGTAGGCTTCTTGAACGGCTTAGAATTCAAGCTCGACCTAACTCAACTCCAAAATTTTGCTTAATTGTTTAGTATTGTCCAAACCTTGTAAAGACTACTTTGGTCATATCCATTTGGTTGATGCAGGATCTTAACACATCTCTTCATGCCTTGTACTGAGCATTTGGAGCATGGTGAACAAGTGGCCCAATAACATATCTATGATAGACTCACAAACCATCTTAGAGTCTGGTTAGGCGCAACTCGATCTCTAAAAACTAGTTTAAGAGGTCAGGACTGTCAAAAATTTTAAGATGGTATCAGAATCTATAACTGATTTGTTATTGGGTTATCCGCACTTGTCCACGTTCCTTTCCCCTCGAGTTAGTTTTTGAAATTGAATTAGGTTTAACCCAAATTCTACTATAAGAAACTAAATACAAAATTGTCATATCATTTATCGGAACTGTTTTTTTCTTCTGCTTTTTTTTCTTAGATCTGATAGTTTGATTTCTTATTGGCAGATTAAAAAGCAGATACTTTCAGCAAAGAGCACTTTGAAAGACTATTTTTTGGGATCAAAAACAGAATCTAAAGAAAAGCACTTTGAGAAATTGGACAACAACAAGGATGATCCATAAATTCATGGTCATCTTTGTACAGGAATATTATTGAGTCAAGGTTTTCTTTTAGCCATGCGAACTTTGTGAAAATCTTCAATGTAATGGAATGGTTCAACAGACTAGATGCTGAGAATGTGTTAACAGTATTAACTATCTTGATTGACTTACCAGCACAACCAATGTCATCAATTAGACAAGAATATCATGATCATGTATTTGCACATCAAATAAGTTTTAAAAGCTGTTAATATAAATTGGCTTTTCTCTAAGGCTCAGTTTGAGAGTTGGTTTTTAGAGGAGAAGACTTTGGAATGTTGCGTCTATATCTTGAAATGTGTTTGATATTTTTAAAAAGTTTAAAAAACAATATGATTTTATATGTTAATGTAGTATATTGTTTTTTACACTTTTTAAAAATATCACACACATTTCAAAATATAGACGCAATCTTCTAAAACTTTCCCTTCTAAAACCCTCCAAAAACTATAAGACCCTAATAGAACTCAACATATATGCATACTGAATTTAGGTCACATGTACTAATATAGTTTTGTGTCATCAAAAAGGCCAAACGAACATCTTATTCCATAGTCACTAGAATGGTATTATATTGTAACTTTTAAAAAAAGTTTTTATAAGAATATTTATTTTAAATATTTATTTTATAACACAAATATAAGATTGTGTCATTAATCAATTTTACAGTTGTATTAACCATAAAAATATACATTATTATTCAATTATTTTATATATATAATTTATTAACCATTTTCAATACTTCATTAATCAATAAAGTACATACTATTAACTATATTCTGACACTAAATTATAAATATATTAATTAATTTTTATATTTTATTAATTAATTAATTTTTTATATATTAAAATTTTTATATTAGAATATATATTAATCAAATTTTGAATTGTAACCAAATTTTAATATTTTATTAACCAAAATAGTTTTAGAGAAAAAAACATTAAAAAGTCAAAATAATATAAAAACATTTTCATATATTTGTAAATAATATAGGTGGTATAATGTCGTTTTTAGATGTAAAAATATCATTTCTCTATAAATAATCATTTCAGATACAATACAATGTAATATTTATATTAATATGTTAAAAAGAAAAATATATAAGAAATGCATATAAAGACGAATAAGCGAAACCGGTATACTTAATACTATTATAGTAATATACTCTCTCTGGCCATTATTATAAATAAAATTTCTCTTGTTAAGTTCATTGAATAATGAATGTATTTGGTCTTTTTTATAGACCATATACATTCATTATTCAATGAACTTAAAAAGAAAATTTTTACTTATAATAATAACCGGAGGGGTACTTCTTAATACCTCTTTTAAGTTGGAGTATACTAAATATAGGTGTGATAAAACGGGTTCGGCCCGTTGGATATTGTCTATTTTACCTGTATTTTCTTGCAGGACGTATCAAAATTTTAGGCCCGTATTCATTAATATGTCTTCCTCATCTTATTTTTTTCGGGTGTGGCCATCAATATAAGTTTTTACAATTTTAAAAGGTGTAGTGTTCACGGGTCAGTTCCACCCTATTCTCATTTTTTTTGCAGGACGGATCAAGGTTTTAAGTCCACACCCTACACAATGTTTGTTTTTTGTTCTCTTTTTTTGCAAATTTTTGCAGGACAACCTTAAATGGGCGGACATATGTCTGTTTTGTCACCCTATATATATTAACTATGTCCAACTTATTACAAATGAAATTACTATGCACCCCATTCAATGCTTTTCTTAAACAAACCTGGTAGTTGATCTCTTATCCTAACATATAGGAAGTAGAAATGAGATTTTTTTGAACCTTCTTTTTAATAAAGTGATAGTCTACCTCAACGTGTTTTGCTCTTTCATCAAAGACCAGATTTGATGTGACATGTATGACAGTTTAGTTATCACTCCATAATTTCATAGGACAACAATTGTTCTCAAATATCATCTCATCCAAGATTTGTCATACCCATATTAGTTCACAAGTAGTTTGAGCCGTAGTCTTGTATTCTGCTTCTACACTTGATATTGATACTACAATTTGTTTCTTACTTTTCCATGGTATCAAATTACCTTTGAAGGACACACAATATCCCATGATAGACTTTAGGTCCACTGGACATCATGTCTAATCTAAATCAGAAAAAGCCTCCACCTATATATGCTCATGATCTTGGTACACAATTTCCTTTTCTTGAGCTTTCTTCATATATTTAATAATGTGGATTACTGTTTTCTTTACTCTAACTAAGAAAACAATCTTTTTAATAACTTCTAAAGATAGATATCCAAGACAACAATGAAATTGAAAAAGGAAACATGTTGCAAATTTTGAAAGTTGTTGATGCTGATGAAACTCCTTCTCCAAATAGATATAACTCGTGAGATATTCTTCCTCTACCAATAGTCATATATGTCAACAGATCCTGAAATATACAAGAGTCTGAAAAAGGTACAAAAAAATTTAACAAATGCATTATTTGACAAATTGAAAGAAGATTACAATAGAATTGAGGTAGATATAAGACAGATGATGACAAAGGTAAAATAGAAATCGGGGTAGTACACTCACTTCCTTTAATATAGACTTTGGAACCATCGTCAAGGATAACAGAAGAATAATTATTGAAATGACTGAATGAGAAAAAAATACGTGATTTCCTTATCATATGATTAGTGGCGTCGAAATCAATAACCCAATACTGAGAAGTAGAGGATAAGCATGTACTAGGATTACATGTTTGGACAAATGTGACTTTGGAGGAAGATGTAAATGACCGTTGAAAAATATGAAACAATGTACATTTGTTAAATTATTCATCACTCATAAGTACGGTATACCATTCATTTTGTAGATTAAAAGAATGAGTCACAATATTAACAAATGGACAACAATTTTGATAGTGGTCAAATTCTCCACAACCAAAGCACTAGACTAGAGCACCATGACAAGCACCCATACGAACAAGACCACTGTCACTACGACCTCCTCTACCTTCATTATGAAAACCATGACGACCTCCAAATTGCACGTCTAAAGTCGAGCAGTTAGAGAGATCACTGCCAATAGCAATAGATTGTGATTCCATAAAGAATGACTGTATAACCTGAGAGAGAACGTCATTAAGGTTATCAACATGTTTATTGGACAAAATTTGAGATCGAACCATCCCATACTCTAAATCAAAAACATAAAGCATACTCAAGGCTATCAATTTCTTTTATTGAGTTAGCATCGCTTTGATTTGCATTATAGAAGAGAAGTCAACTCCTCCACATATTTCTTAAACTTCATAAAATAATCCATCAATTTTCGCTTATTCTTTTTGGGGCGAAAAATCTTATGTCAAAAATAAATTACAAAAAAATTCACAACATTTTTACAGTCTTATAATGAGTAGTAATCAATTGAATTATAATGAGTAGTAACCAATTGAATTCGCTATGAATCGAATTTACAAAATCAAAATGTGTTTATATTGTTGTTGTTTTTCTAAATTCTAATAGACTCTAATAGTATGTAAAAAGAGAGAAAATATAAATAATCCGTATACTAAATATTAAGATCTTAATAATATCTCATTATAATATAACTCAATAAATAACCCAAAAAGAAATGCTAAAAGTAACATGAAGACTTGTCATTTTATGTAATTCTACATGTTAATCTAAGTGTACCAATAATCTTTGATTGTGGTTATAGAGGTGCTTATATTATTATATTATTGAAGGATGCCCATATTTAGGGATGGTTTGGCCAAAACTTTGGTAGAAATGTTTATGGAAGTGCTTTTTCATGAAAAATATATTATGTTCTTGTAGCAAAGTTGTGTCAAAATACATGTTCTGGACTGGGCCCGGCTGGCCCAATAGCATTGATAAGGTCCAATCCAAACGGACTTGTTGGGGGTCACGCTGACCAAAGGATCACGGTCGTGCCCGACGTACTCCCTGGGGCTACTTGCTCGACCTCCTACTGTCCAGCTCGACCTCACCTCGAGCACCCCTCCTAGGACAGACTCAGTCCACTGCACTCTCAACGGGACTCCGAAAAGACCGCGTCTCTGTCCGCCCGCACTTCACGCAGAACATCCAGGGAGGGGACCACGTGCAGGTCCCCACTACGCACGTAGAACCTGGCAGTTCCTCCATTGGACCAAACCTACCCGCCCCAATGAAGGAACCTTGGCCCAGCGCTGAGGGCTATAAATACCCTCTGTTTCCAGAGGGTCAGGTATTCATCATTCTACCCATACTCTTACTATTGCCTGCTCGTGCTCTTACTCACTTCAGCATCGGAGTGTCTTGTAGGTACCCCCACCTCGTTCAAAACTTCAGCTCGGAGTCAGCCGTGACGGTCCAAGTCTGATCAGGTTAGATCAATAGATGATGAGGAATTATTTTGGTAAAAACTTATACCATGATTTTGAAGTGAAGATGCATGTTTACAACTATTATTTATAGCACATCATATGAGACAATATTGGAAATTTCTTATTCCACCCATGTTTAAAAGACTCTTTGCAATTTCGAAAATTGAAAATATATTTTCGATTCACATTATGTATTTTACAAAAAAAAAAGATCAAATATGATTTTATCCTTCAAAATGTAAAAACAAAACTGGAGATGTACTTTCGGTTTTGCACCGATTGTGATATTGGTGTTATTCAATGATGTTTTTCTGGTTTCTATGTAACACAACCGGAATTACTTCTCCGGGTCAAAACCGAAAATTAAATTTAAGTTTCAATGTATAATTTATCAAATTTTGGTGTGCACCAGAAATATACTTCAGATTTTAAAGGGCATTTAAAGAATTTCGGTGCGTACAAAAATGATAGGGTGGAATAAGAAATTCCCAAAATATTTGCACCATAGGAAAATCAACTATTCCTTGACATTCCAACACAAAATACATCTACTCTTCACATTTTAAAAACAAAAATCTGATATTTTCATTCATGCTCAATCAATCAACCAAATCAAATCATCACATAGCTAAAATGAACATCCTAGCCGACCCAACGAAAAAAAGGGGAGGGGGTGTTGCCAACAACATTCATCCATTCATTGTTTCTTGAGAAAGTCTTTGAAAAAAACATGCAATTTCTTTGAGGTGAATCTACTATAGATGAAATTTATAATCAAATATTGTTGTTGTAATCATCATCATGCAAGACACAATCATCAAGTATTTGTCTCTGTACAAAGTCTTTCACTTTTGTTTCAAAGTTGCATTCCGCTTGGATTCAAGTGTTGTTCCTTCTTTAAGTGCTGCTTGTGCTTCATTCTCCATTCCAACTGTTGCAAGGGAAACTGATTGAAGATAGGATGCAATGTGCCATACTGGTGAAATAATCTGCGCTTGCATTGCGTCGGTCAGCGCTTCCTGAGCCATGTCGCTTATGAGATAACACAAACTGCGTCGTGCATAGACTGTAGGAGAAATCATTGTTCCAGCATCGATGAACTGCAGATAAACACAAAGATCAACATGTTAGAAACCAAAAAAGGTAAGCCAATTTTAGATTAATCGAACTTATGAGAATAAGAACGCTACCTGTGTGTAGCACTCGATCGCTTCTCTAAATTCTTTCTGTCGGAATGCGGCATCACCCTTTTTCTTGCAATTCAATGTGTCCTGCATTTGATCAGTCCACATCTGGAATGATAACTGCGATATCAGAAAAGAGAGCACACAAGTTACAATCTTTTCAAAAACAAAATCGAAAATTTGTGTAGAAATTCGTTAAAATATGATTTAGATATCAAACCTCATTTGCCACTCCTTCATCATCTTTATAACCAAGATGATCCAGAACTTCGTGTATGGCGGTCAAGTCCTTTCTCGAACACGCCTCGCCAAGTGGAGATAATGAAGCAAAACTGGTGCTATGTGGTATACCCATCAACACATGTGAAGGAACCTAGAAATAAACAAGTATTAATAAATTTTGTTACACCACATGTATCGGAGTGGTGTCGGTTTTCAACACTGATATGTGTCTGATACCAAACACGCCTTCAATCTGAAGTGTCAAAAGCAATAATGAACCAACCTCAGTTTCTTTTTGAAGAGAAGCCAAAGCAGACACCAATGATTTTGGATTAGGCCTTTCTCTAGGTTCATATTGTAAACATCGAGATGCCAAGCGTACCAGCTCAGTTCCATCGTTATCAGAAAATTGTCCTTCCAGACAAGAATCTGTCAGCATATGAAGATTTCTGTCCCGGATCAAATCAAGAGCCTGCACCAAGTTTACTACTATTAATTAGATATTCGCACAAGTTACACCATGCCAAAAAACAAAAAGTAAATGATATACAAGTTCATATAATAGTAAAAAAAAATCACTTTTACGTGCCCACTTACATGACTCGGGGGGATATGCTTTCCGCTAAGAAGGTCGAGCAAAAGAGTGCCAAAGCTATATATTACGCTTTCTGGTGTTACTCTCCCTATAGAAAATAGGCGATATATAAGAAACCATTTTTTGCGCAAATCTTGCAAAATATGTACGAACAAAAGTAGATACCAGTTCTGAGATACTCTGGAGGGGTAAATGCCAAATTGGTGCTATAACTTTTCCCATCCCTGCTATTTTTCATGAGTCCAAAGGTAGAGAGCCTAGGATTACCATCCTGCGAAATTCTAACCCGATTTTATATTGTTCTAATAATTTAGATGCGTATAAAATCGTTAGAAACGAAATCTCACCTCATCAAAGAGAACTCTATATGCATTGAGGTCGTGATAGAGAGCACGTCCTTTGCTTGTGCAGTACTCTAGAGCTTGTGCAAGATGTAGAACAACCCTTAGTCGCATTGCCCATTTCATAGGTTGTGATTCCCCTGATTTCGAGACATGATTACATCATGAACAACAGGATCATGGCAATATACTCTGGAGTTATTGAAAGAAGCACTTACAATGGAAAAGGTGCTTTGCGAGTGTTTCATTTGGCATATATTCGGCAACAAGCAACCTATCGTCTCCTTCACAACAACATCCAAGCAAGTTTGCCAATCTTTGGTTACGAAGCTGACCGACTGCTCTTGCTTCGTCCTGCAGTCGTGAAAGAAAATTATTCGTTCAATTGAAAGTGAAAATAAAGCAGGAAGATATGATAATGTTGATCAATAGAAACACTCGCGAGTCTGTGTAAGAGAATTCATGGATGCTATTTCTGTAAGGTCTCCACGATAGCTTACGAAAAACAACTTATAGTGTATACGAAAACAGTTTGATTTTATGATATCTTTTGGTATAGAAATACCTTATATATAAATACTAACATGATAAGTGCTTATGATATAAGCGCTTAATTAAACGGTTTATCCAAATAGGACCTTAAACCTAGTGAGTGGTGAATAAATCATGGAAGAAGAAGGAGGAACATTTACCACAAACTGTCGGGTATCGGGCCAAGCACTTCTATTAAACCGTTTAACAGCAATTCTCATTTGATTCTCCAGCTTCCCTTTATAGACAACATTTGGAGCCTTCTCTCCATGCTCGGATACAATATTCTCGACAGCAAAACCAGACGTCGCATTCTTAAGTTGCTCAAGTGTAAATTCGCGGAATACAGGCCAGTTACTAACCTCACTATCACCATTTTCTGAAACAAGCATTAAAATAAACATAAACCAATTCCGTATCAAACACCAAGAACATCATAAAACACTACAAAACGAGTATACACCTACCAGCATCTGGAGTTTCAAGAACAGATGCTTTAACTTGCGAATTCACACAACACGGAAAAAATCTCGAACATTGAATCCCCATTTCTATGTACTAAAATCAAACGCGCAAAAGTAACGAAAAAACCTCTTCCACTTTCAATGACGCCGCTTTATCAAACTTATGAACTCACAAAAGATACCTTCATATCCAGCTCTAATATCTCGATACCAAAGCTTTAGTATCTGTAACATGTTTGAAACAGAACAACATTCTTAATCACATCAAAACCTACAATCTCAAAAGCTACAAATCCTAGCTTCAAATAGAATCAATTCTATAAAACATAATCAGTTCTACTCTAGAGCAACCAAACATGTCTAAATAGAATCAATTCTAGGTGCTCCAAACATGAAACTAATACACTAAGTGAAGCTATAAAAGGGCAAACTACAAAGCTAGCATCAATAATTTTGATCTCAATGCAAACTGTTTATCAACAAGCATCATGAACCTAGAACAAGTTAAAAAGTATCTGAAAAAACAATCAACAATAACCAAAAACACATAATCTAAAAAGCACTTTTATAGTTGATCTCATGTTCTCAAAACCAAATCTAATGACAAAAACAACCCTTATTTAGACACTACTACTTACTTATGAGTTATGACAACCTAACTACTAGCATCTTAGCATTTAAAGCTAAACAACATTAAACTTAAAGATGTAGTACTTACTAGCATTCCTCCAAATATTCAAAAGTGTAAAACATAATAAAAAAACACACACACACACACTCAAGATTCATAACTTCATATATATCATATCATATCCTACCTACTATAGTATCTTAGCATTAGCATATCTATATATTTTTTTCTTCAAACTTTTCTATTTTCAAAGTCAACTTAATCACTTTAACTACCAAAGAATTGCAACTCAACTCAACTCAACTCAAAAGTCCTCATTTTTCAATGTCATGTAAAGCAACAATTTTTCCAACCAACTAAAAAAGCTACTTCACCTTTAAGCTTCTCCAATGAGAGAGGAAAAAGTGGAACAACCAGAAGCTGAAAAAATGTAATTTTTATATATAATTTCTTGATAAAATCAATAGCTTTTACAAGATGTCAAGATCCACATTTCCAACAGCAGAATGTAAAGTTAGAGTCTTTTGAAGGATCCAAGCAAAACCCAGAAACAGTTTCACCTCAGAAAGTGAATTGAGAGAGAGAGAAAGTGAAAGGTGAGAAGAAGATCTGTGTGAAGAGAAGAAGAAGAAGAATGTGAAAAGGGTGATGAATGATAGAGCATGATGTCTTTGGTTTTTTGTAACATTTTCTTTTTTGGCTTTTTTTTGTTTTTAAATTATAAAAAAATTGTAATAAAATGAATTATTACCGACATGTCATGAGTGCATGTTATGAGTATGTAGATTCAAAGATCTGTGTAATCTTTCATGTTATTTTAATGATTTTTTGTTAATGATTTGTTGGCACAACACATTTGTCTGTCTTTTACCAAAAATGAAACTTCGATATTTATGTTTTGGATTTTTTTATTGTTTCAAGACTTCATAAGTTAAGGTAACTAATTTTAATATCAATATGAAAGTTTATCTTTTTTATATTAATCGGGCTTAAATATGAGTTTGTAACTATTTATTATCAGATCAGAAAAGAAAAAGAAACAATGTATATTTGACAATATGAAGTTTTAATTTATCTCTTTAGAATAGAAAATCTCGAATTAATTAATGGCCTTAATGGTGTAGATTTACATTCTTAGAAAAAGATTAAAAAAATTGATTGTATAATATTTGTGAATTATGAATTAATGTGACTTCTTAATTGTATATATTTATACTTCTAAAAATAATAGAAAATTAGACAATAGAATATTTGACATAATATGATATGATTATAATTTAATTGGTGATAGCAGTTTTGATGTGAGATGTTCGATTTGAGATTTCTTACTTCTTCACACTTATGGTGTGTGATTTTAATTCTAAATTATTTGACGTAATAAGTTATAATTACTTATAAATGATATTATCATTATTTATACCAAAAATAACAAGTATAAATCATCAAAACATCTTTTGTGATATGTCATTAGTCTAGTTACGATCTAGAGTTTCTCTCATGGTTAGTTGTTATTTGTTTAGTTGTGATTTTTTGCCCGTGGTTGATCGACATTTATCATGACTTAGCTCATACTCATGGTTTCTCGTTTTGCTTCGACTTGTGTTCTTTGTTCGCAACTCATGTTCACGACTTTCACTCGCGTTTTTGACACTCTTCTATTTTTGTGAGTCATATTATGAATTATTGAAGTTGAATGAAAGAAATTTACTTCATTAGTGAATAATGAAAGTACATATTATACTTATAGCATAGGATGAACATACATGATGGGCTAATATTAGAGAAACTAAATAATTGTTAATGAACTTGTTAATTTACTAATTAATCTCTTACACAAGTAACCTATGCGCATTTTCAATACAAGCATAATAATTAATTCTAACTATGAGGAGATGGATCACCTTCGTATTGATTTCCGTGGTGTAATATCCACCACAAGTTGGAGGATGATAGATATCTATTATTCTCAACTCAAATATCAAAATGTAAAATGGTTAGAAAATAAGAGATTTGGCAACAAAAATATGTTAGTTGATCTTTAGAATATAATAGTAATATCTTCATGATTTTAGCTTACAGCTATCTCTAGCAAGATGACAATTTATTTTTAAGGGTTTTGTTCTTTCATAGAAAACATGATTTGTTGTTATGAATAGAGCATTTAGGTTGTCATACTATATGACATGTAGCTTAATGTACCAAATTTATAAATCTTTGATCAAATACAATAGTCATTGTAGTTTATAGGTTTCAACAACTAATGCACAATACTCTATCTCAGGAGATGATCTTGACATTATGAGATGTTTTTTATTCTCCAAAATATCAAAGATTTGCCAACAGAGAAGCATTGTCATGATATGAGTCTTTTGGAGACAACACACCCTACCCAGTCAACATAAAAAAACCTAGAAAATGATTGGTGGATCTCTAGGAAAAAAGAAATCATGATCAAGACAATTTTTGAGATATCTCAAGACTCTCGTAGTAGAATAAAATTGAGTAATTGTAGGATTAAATAGAAATTAAATTAGTTGAGTAACAAATGTGATTTTAGGTCTTCTTGTGGTAAGATAGAGTAACCTTCCAACTAATATTTTGTGTGTCATCATAGTGTAATTTTGAGGAAGGATCATAAAATGTTGAATTTGGATTAGATCCTAGAAGGCCTAGATTAGATAGAAGATCTAGGTAATATTTTATTTGACATGAAGAGATACCTTGATTTGACTAGGAAATTCAATTCTAAGAAAGTATTTAAGTTGGCCTAATATTTTTATCTTAAATGAATCATGTAGAATAGTTTTAAGGTGAAAAAAATCCTTCCAGAATTTCCTGTAATGATCACATCGTCTACATATACAAGGAGTAAGGTGGAAGAAGACGTGGTTTTCTTGATGAAACAAGAATTATGATGTGTTTTTACCAAAAATGATTTAAAGAATAATAACCTATAATTGTGAAGCTTTGATGATAAGAATATAATTAAAAATAATGGGTACTCTAATGTATTTATTTCCATGTGTATAACAATTATAATCATCTACACAAAAAGGAAATATCATCTACCCCAAATAGAGAATTGAGCCCTCAGAAGGAAATGATATTTTTCTGCAAAACTCAATAAGGTTTGCCATTTATATCTAAAGGAAAACATGATCATGTGTACCCATATAGACATGATCATATGTACTCAACACATGTTCCCCGGTGAAGAATTGACTAGTACTTGTGCCTATATGAAGAATTGACCACCTGTTCCCAAATGCATAATTGATCACTTGGGCCCAGATGACTGAAGGCATGCTATATTGAGTCACTATAAATAATGGTCTCTCAATGGTCTCATCATGACAATTGTGTTAGTAAAAAGAATGGAAGGATAAGGTTACATGCAAGGTTGTTAGACTCGCGAGTCTACTCAGATTCGTAAAGGGTCTGTAGACTCGACTCGTAAACTTGTATGAGTCTATGAAAAATTAAAAATGACTTCCAAAAACCTATAATTGACACGTATATCACATACACATATATATAATAGAACATCAATTAACATCAAATTTTAAACTTCATACTTCATAATAAAATTTCATAACAAAAAATCAATAATAGAACAAAAAAATAACAAAGTATATAGTTGAAGACTTAAAGTATTAACTCATTCTTAATTGGACACTTTCACGCAATAATAAAAAACATAAAACAAACATGCTAATGGCTTCATACATCCTTACAACACTTGTACATGCAGGTTATTTATAATTATTAATAATTAATTAATTGGTAAAAATCGTGAGAAAAAAATTCATGTGAGAAATGCATTATTGCAAGACAAATATAAATTTGTTTTGTTGTAAATCATAAATATTTTAAACCATTTTATCCTGTGAAAATTGATACATGTGGATTAGCGATCACTAAATCTGATTGAAATAAAATGGTTTATCATCTTTATAAAAGAGAACATAAAATAAAAGAACATATAAGAGAGAATACAAGAGAAGCATCCAAGTCAAACATATAAGAGAACACTTACACAATGAAGGATTGATTTACGACAACAAACATGAACACAATAAGAGGCTGACCAACGCGACCACATTGTCAATGAAGGGAGGAAGAAACTTTTTTGTAAAAAGAGACTAAGAAAGAGATGTTTCTAATTCTCATACAAGCAATAAAGTAAGAGTTTTTCTTTTAAAAATAATAGTAATTTCTTTTGGGAATTTGGGCTCTTTTGGGGTTTTTCCAAAAAAAGAGAAGGAATATTCTAAAAACTTATAAACTCGCGAGTCTATATGAGTTTGTGCAAGTCTACCTGAGTCTACTCGATTTTATCAAAAAGAGATTATATGTGCGAGTCTACTCATTTTTGCTTCCTAGACTCGTAAACTCGTACGAGTTTACGAGTCTACCCGTGAGTTTGACAACCATGGTTACATGCATATAGTACAATTTTAATGACTTCATTCCCAACAGACAAATAATTGACAAAGACAAATGGTCAAAAAATCAAATATCTGAGGCCTACATAAAGGAATCAAATTTAAATGTTGAAGGTCACCAACTTATAAGACTTTTGAACTAATGAATAACAATTTAAATTATTAGTAATGTTAGTTCCATGTTTTTATGGTTGGTTAAATTTTGGCTAAATATGGTTCTGAACATGGTTCTATGTTGGTGTTGGTAAGATGGTGTAACATCTTTATCAACTATCATAGAAGTTCCAGCTGTTATGAGTGTTACTACCAGATGTTAAAGACGATGTCATAACATCTAGACCAACAGGTTCAGCAGGTGCCTTATTTGACATATGTTCCAGTAGATGTTGTAACATGTTACAATAGAACATTTTAATAGTGTGTTGGATATTTTATCCTTGAAGATTTAATTTGAAGATATGAGTATATGGAATATTCTGTACTCATTATAGGCGAAGGCTAATCAAGTATTTTATTATAAACAAATGCAGATTTGATTGGTTTTTAAAAAGGATCGATTGCAACTTTTTAGGAAACTTTTTATGAAGATTGTTTCTATTTTTGTGGAGAAAGATTCTGCAGGTTTTTGGGAGCTGCTGATTGGATTTGATTGAAGAGTCCAAGCCCAACTATAGAAGACTGTATAAGGAGTCATCCAAGACCTAGTTTTTAAGAAGAGTTTTTTTATTGTAAAACCTTGTGTAAAACTAAGGGTTTAGGGTTGGTAGTTCCTTAGTTTCTCCATCTATTTTGTTTGTACATCCTCATGTATCTCTGATACATTTGAGTTGACTAATTGTTGATTGTTTTTCAAGATATTATTCTCACTCTAAGCCCATAGGCACGAGTTAAGTATTGCTCTTGGTCGGAGCTTTTAAGAAAGACTAAGTATTTGTTTTTGGAAGTGTGATCTTCATGTTTTCTTTGTTATAAGTTGTTGTGACTGTAACTTGTTGATAGACATTCCTTGTGACCGGGATAGGTCTTCCATCACTGTGGTGATTAGAAGTGGGATGGTGATTTCCCTGACTTAGGGATGACCTGATTTGAAGTTACAGTGGGTAGGGATTAGGCGATAAGTTGTAAACGGGAAAGTTTAGCTTCAAACTATTACTACTGATATTGGATTTCCTTCCTGGCTTGGTAGCCCCCAAACTAGGTGAGTTATCACCGAACTGGG